AGCAAGAAAGAAACACTTTTACGAAGGCGGCGGGTCCTTAGTGGGCCCCAGAAACCGCAGCGCAATCTTGCCACCAATTCCCACAACATGTTCCTCGAATGTGGAAAAAGTGATAAACACGGCAACAAGAAAGGAGTCAAAACCAGCTCCAGAACTGGAATCGGAACCGGAACCGGCAAAACAACGGCGACAGAACCAGCAACGAAAACGACGCCGGAACTGGCAACAAAAACGGCAAAACGGAACGGGTAACAAAAATGGCCCTGTCGGTTCCAAGGCACAGGAAAGGGCGGAACTTCTCAGAAACCCTCGGACCTTCTGAGAAGTTTTCTGTGTCTTCGGGGAAGTCCTTGTAAACTTCTCAAAAAGCTGGCAGAAAGCGCTCACCTCGGAACGTATACTATAAGATCTCTCGGCGCGCGCGTGGGCCCCAGGAGGGCGAGGCAGCAAACTATGCCCTGACTTCCCCTCCCCGAACGCGGTCTCCACCCAAGGCCCAAGGAGCCTCTCGAGGCCCTCGGAGGCCAGCGATGGCCGAAAGAGGGCCTGGAACGCCGAACACCTCGATCCTCCTCCTCCTCCTCCTCCTCCTCCTCCTCCTCCTCCTCCTCCTCCTCCTCCCCCTCTCCCCGATGACAGCGACGACGACGGCGACGGCGACGGCGACGAACGACGACGACGACGACGACGACGACGACGACGTTGACGACGACGACGACGACGACGACGGCCGCGGCGGCGGCGTCGGCGGCGGCGGCGGCGACGGCGCGCCTGCGAAGCTCCGCCTGCCCTCGTCGACCAGGGGGTAGCGCCAGGCGGTCCCCTCGGGGGCCGTGTCCATCACCAGCTGGGGAGGCGCGCCAGGCGGAGCAGCGCACCGCCGCGGGGCCGCCACCGCCGCCACACGGAGGGACCGCGCGGCCGGCACAGGAGATGTCCTGCTCCCCCTCGCGAGGACGACGCCGCCGCGGCAGGGGAGGAGGAGGGGGAGGAGGAGGCAGAGGAGGAGGAGGCGGAGGCGGAGGAGGAGGAGGAGGCGGAGGAGGAGGAGGAGGAGGAGGAGTGGGAGGAGGAAGCGGAAGCGGAAGCGGTGCAGCGGCAGCAGTCGAGTCGATAGCTGCAGCCTTGGATGGGGGATCGCGGGAGGCTGGGCAGAGATGCCGACCCTCCTGCTAGAATTCGGCGACCGACTGGGCGTCTGGCCGTGCTCTTAGCCGCTGGCGCCTGCAAACAAGGCACCAAGGAGCACGGCAGCTACATTGCGGCACAGGCCGACAGAAGGCAATTTGCCTGGCAGTAGAAGTGGGGCCACGCGGGTTCGCGGCCCCGAGAATATTAGTCAGACGAGCCCGAGTCTCCCTCCCCAGCACCACAACCCACAACGATGCTCGAGGCTGCCGCGGCAGCAGGAACAGAAGAGCACTGGGCGGTGGCGCTTGCACGGTCAGGAGACTCGGGCATGCTATCGAGCTGGACACCAGTGCCAGGGTGTCGGCCACACTCCGCACGAACAAGCTTTCTGAGGTGACCAGTGCGTGTCGCCTGCACCTGCGAGAAACCTCGGCACGTCCGTCGAAGTCCCCGACAACAGACATCAGGGAGCACCAACAAACAAGCACAGTCGAGGCAGATGATGATTCTACCGTTGCGTACAGGTCGGCGCTGCAGGTCGCTAAAAACTTCGAGGCCTTCTGCGGCCGATCCAGAGGGGCCCCTGGACCAGGAAGAAGAAGAGGAGGGCCCCAGGTCCCCAGGAGGCTCGAAGGCGGAGGCCCCAGGCAGAGGCCCCAGGATCGCGTTGGCAAGCTCCAGGGCAGGCCCAGCGGCAGCCGTCGAGCCAGATCCGGCAGCCAGGCCTTGCTCTGCTATCCTGTTGAAAAACATGTTGGCCTGCCATTGCTGAATGGCGGTGGGCCTGCATTCACGACTTCCCCCCGTTCGCAGACCCTTGAGTGTCTGGTCGGTGGTCGCTGCCATGTTGCAGCGCCTACATCTCCATTCAGCACGAGCCTCTACATAACAAAGTTCATGCTGCGAGAGCGAAAGCTTCGGCGCCGTACTAGGGGCCTGCCTGGGGGGAGGCTGCGGGGCTTCAACCTGGTCTCCCGCAATACTAATTACCTGGATGGCACGTGCTAAAACATCCCAGGTGAGCTGATGCGTTTTTACCTGGGCCCGCTCGGCCTTGACATGAACATCTGGGACTTGGTGCATGCCCGGCCCTAGCCTGGCGAAAAAATCGGCCCATACATTTCCAAGGTAGTCTTGGATGTCTGAGCTCGTGCACAAAGGTATGTCCTCTGGCCCTCGGTGCGCTGGGACCCACAGGAAACTTGGCCTCTGAAGGCCTTCGCCTTGAAGCTCGAAAATCATGCGCCATATATCTGCAAGCGCATTTCGGGCAGCTGCCAGATCGGGATCCCATGAGCACCCTTCGCGAACGAGCTGGAGGTGGTCGGTGACCACGTCGGCCCCTTGGGGTGCAACTTCTACCGCACGCAGCGATGCATACCTCTCAGCGCGGGGCACCGCCTGGCGCCCAGGCAAAGGCCCGTAGAGAGCCCTGTGGGGCGCGCCCCACTGGTCAACCTCGACGGCAGCCCATCCACACCGTCTACGTTCTGGGCTTGAGTTCGCAAGCCCTGAACCGTCGGTATAGATGCGCCTGCCCCAGGGCCCCGTCGTTGCACCCCAATGAACCGTGGGGGCCTCGGGGATCTCTGGAACACTGAGGGAATAAAAAGGGGGCCCATGCGCAAGCTCCAGAGTGCCCCAGTCGGCCTGTAATCCAGAGTACCCCGAGTCCCTTAAAATTTCTCTGTGCTCTATAATATCATCGGGAAGGGGCTCTACATCAAGATCCTCTGGCGGCTGAGCTATAGCAAGGCACTGGTACAGCTGGTGTCCTAGTGTGGCACTGGGGTTCGACATCCTGCTGCACGCTTCCTCGAGGGCGGCCAACGTCCTGATCGTAATAGTAGTCGAGCGCAGCCACTCCTGACGTCGTCCTTGATGCGTAATATTGCAAGTCGAAGGCCACGCCGCCACACTTCTTCATAACCAAATGCTTCAGTAATGTGCGCCAATACCCGTTTCATCTGCCATCGGCCCATGGCCTCTTGGAGCAATCTCTTGACCTCCGTGGGCGGCGCGTGCAGGAGAGAAATCATGGTTCCTTTTTCGTCGACGACTTGGCGTGCAGATATCATAGCCCAGCCAATTCTTGAAAGCGAAAGCAGAGTCGCACTCATGGGCCCGCGGTACTTGGGTCATGCGAGTTTACTCCCAAAACCAATCTTCATGGCTCAGAAGGCTCTCTGAAGGCCGGCAACTGAACATCTGCTGCCCCATATCGCGCTGGCAAGCCTGACAACTAGCAAGAGGGTCGCGCCATATATCGGGTCGTAGAAATCGTCCGCCTGCGGGGAAAGCCAAGCTGTGATAGACACGTGTTGGCGCGCCCCCGCGGGTGCAGCCGCAATGGTGGCGTCGGTGATGCCACTCGCTCCTGCTCCATGTGCGGCAGCTGGTAGCAGTCCTGTTCTCCACAAGGTTCGGACTTTGTGGTTCGCCCATCTCACAAGGGAGCGAAGCTTGGGTTTCCTAGCCATCAGTCCAGCAAGTCTTGTCTCCTCAATCACTCGTTTGGCCTTGGGCCCAGACAGATCATGTCCGAGGTTACGCATGTGAAGATGCATATTCATCCTGGGTCCCTTGACGAAAGGTGCGATTACTTTCTTGGCAGCCGCATTTGTCGCAACACATCCACTTTTAGCCGCTTGGATGACCAACCCCAGCTCAAAAGCACCCTCCGTAAAGTACTTGACAGCCGCGAACAAAACCTTAGATTGTCTGGGGTCTTCTCCCGTCCATTGAAACCCCGCGTCGTCCATGAGCATGCGCGGCGCGACTGGGTCGAAGAGGTCCCTCATTCGAAGCAGAAGCTGATGCAGTCACAAGTGTACCATCGTGGTCGCGTGAGTACACCCAGCTAGGGCGCCTTGAACAGATACATATTCATAAGAAAACGACCCCCGCGCTCGTACCACTCGTGGGCATTGGTAGTTGGCTAAAATTAGCCAGAGGAGTCGTAGTGGGTAGCGCAGCACGTAAGCGAAGGCGACTAGCTTCTGCAAGTCAATCATCTCGAAACACTTGTACATGTCGATCAGCACTGTTACCGACGTGTGCCCTATGTATCGTGCAACTTCTGCTTGAAGGTTATGAGAAAACGCTGAATCCGATGATGCTGCAGCAGGCCTCGCTCCCCAGAAGTCAGGATTCTGAGTAGCACGCTCCCATCTTCTCGAGACAGGTCTGCGGAGTCGGGCCCATATACGCACGATCGTATTGATTAATGCCACCAGCCGGTGCCCTCCTGATGCTTTGGGCAATCGAACAAGGCGTGTCTGTAATCTTTTATCTGGCCAGCAACATAGTCTCCCGCACGCCTGCAAGAGAAGTAGAAGTGTCTGAAGTCCGTAGTCTGGTACAACATCCATCGCCTTGGGGTGGGGCTTGACCTGTCCAAATGCTGAATTGAGTTTGAACTTGCGCAAGACTATGCGTCGGTCTGCTACGCTGACCTCTGGAAGCTGGTTCCATGTCGAGAATTCAAGTGGCAACTTCAGGCGTCTTGAGGCGTGGGTGGCCCAGATCTCAGCCCAGGTATACATACAAGCATCGGCCATTTCAAAAGGTTGTGGCTGCTGGGTGTGCTCCAGGACCTCCTGCAGGTCTCTGAGCTTCGAGAAACGCTGCGCCTGTATCGCTCCATTGTTGATGGATGCCTTTGCCCACTCCGTCCATTCTGCCGTTTTGAATGCGCCAATTGCCTGCACCACTCTCCCCACTTTGTCTATGACGAACTGTGCAGTCTCAAGAAATCCGTCACAGCAGAACTGGTGGGAGAGGTCGCGGACTCGAGCACGTTCATCCTCGCCGAGGTGCTGCATAATCCATTTAGCCTTAGACGCCCTGTGGAAGAAACCCTGGAGGTCTCATGCCAACTTCACAAATAGCTTGAGCTCCTTGTCATCCGCAAACGCGTCGTCGGTCATGCTGAGCCCAGCGTCATATGCTCCAAAGGTAGATAAGGAGCGTGCCCAGCTTGAGTAAGTATCAGTAGTGTGGTTGGTCGGCAGCATATGGCGTGGAATTTTACCTGGTACGTCAACATCCGTCTGGAGCCTCTCCACAGCCAAGATCATCCGCAGTTTCATGGCTCTCATGTGCCGAAACCAACGTCCAATCAACTTGTAGGCCTGGAGCCTCTGGGATGGCTTGTGTTCAGGTGGAGCCACTTTCTTCCGAGACCAAGTTGCTGGGCCCGCCCTTACAAGGCAACGTGCTCGGTCATGGCCCATTACATCATGCCTGTCCAGTAGCTCCTCTTCGATCTGCGTCAAGACCGCATCCCAGGCGTCGGCAAGGGCGTCGGCATCTTCGGCTATAGCGATAAGCCCCCTGGCCATGTCCCACTCGACGGCGGGCGGGAACCACGCACATCCTGGCTTCGGCATCGTGTCGACGGACGCAGGCTGATCAGGCACTCGCGCCCGCATTTCATGTTCTGCATCCTGTAGCGGAGCTCTGACAGGCACATGTGGAAACAAGCCCGAGTCTTCATGCACACAAGCTTTGCCTGCCCGACAATCAACCCGCGGATGCATGCACGTGTAGTCGTACATGGTTCCAGGCTTCGCCTGCAGGCAGGTGGGGCACTTGGGGTGGATGGCGATGCCCCCTATGGAGTTGAACCAATGCCGCAGGTCGTCCACCTGCCTGTTCCAGTCTCCCGCTAGCAGCCAAGGCTGCTCCCGGGCCTCCAGCTCCCAGATATATATGGCGACCTGCCAAATAATCTCCACGTTGGCGTCTGAGAGGCCCTGGCCGTCGCGAAGGTAGATTGATATCATGGTGATGCCATGCTTGATGCCCCAGCGCACGTGGGCCGCAAGGGCCCTGCCTGAACCAACTCGGCTGGAGACCTCCCTGGTGCGAGAGTCACACGGACCCTGGGCGGTGCCAGGATGGCCATGCCACCGTGCGTCCCCCGTTTGGCGGACGGAGGGGCTGCGGCCCACAGGCCTGCAAAACCTGCTCGAACTGCCTGATGCTGGACGTCGGCGAGTCGCTCTTGGCCCGAACGGTGCTCTTGCACGCATATCACACAAGACTGCGCCCACGTCAGCTTCAGCATCTCAATTAGCGGCCCATGCGATGACGCATTGGCCGCCACGATCGAGCTCACGGTCCTGCTGCACGACGAATCAGGAATGGCCATGGCAACCGAGGCTTTCTCTGGAGTTGTTGGCCCCAGCAGCGCAGCACCTGTCGCTGGTTGAACCTCCGCGGCGCAGACCGCCACCATGATGAGCCGCAAATACATGCAGCCGGGGCCCCTGACAGTCCTCTGGCCTGGCCCGTCGTGGTAGTCCAAGGGTGAGCTTGAGTGGCCCAGCGTCTAGAGCCCCTGGGAGGTCTGATGGCTCTGTGGTTCTCAGGGCCCGTCTGACACATCGGCCCCAGGGCCCCCTTCATCCGCCAACGCCCTACAGCTCCCGGGTGCAGGGGCAGCGCTGGCACTGGGGATGGCACGTGGCCTGCATCTGATGTTAGACCTCCCAGTTCTGTGGTAAATGTTGGCCATATTTCCAGCATGCATTGCGAGCCAGCTGATACCGAGGTACCGTAAGTAGACGTAGCTACTGCCCATCGACCGCATGATGTACCTTGCCAATCCAGCAAGTGGCGACGCATGAACCCATCCCAGGCTCGAGGAGCACCTGGGCATGGGATTTGATCCAGCAAGTGGCGACTGAGCCTGCGATTGCCCAAACTGGCCAGCAGGACTTTGCGGTCTGACTGGCGACGAAAGAACCCTGCCCAGGCTCGAGGAGCACCTGGTCATGGGATTTAGTCCAGCACGTGGCGACTGAGCCTGCGTTTGCCGAACAGCAGGACTCTGCGATCTAACGCCGCGCAGCAGCGTGCGTTCTAACGCCCGTTCTAACATCCGACGATGAAGCCCACGTTGTTCGCTGCAAACGCCATGGGCTTCCCATGCAAGAAAAGCCAGCACGCAAATCGTAGTCATAAATATGTTGCCAACAATCCAGATGACGCTGACCCTATGGCCGCGGCTGGGGCGAGGCCGTGGTAAACTTCGTACTGGCACACATCGCTCGCCACAAACTCCGTGTGCACTGCGTCCTTGACATACGCTTTGTCCAAAGCTGCATCGGGCTCAACATGTGGATGCGATAGAGCTGAGGTCGATTGGCCCAGCCCTTATTGGGTATTGCGCCGCTTAGCCACTGCTGCAGCAGCTTCAGCATATCGCTTGCACATGTCACGCACCTGGTCATCGTCCTCAGGGGGCTCTTCATCAGTGCACGCCTGAAAGAAGTGACGCAAGCTGCTGCTGTCATCAGGTTCCATTGGCACAGGAAAGCGCACAACTTCCTCTTGTTTGGCAGCTCGGTCGGGTCCTTGGGACCCCCCTGGCTGTTGGCCTGGCGGTCCTGGTTCGGCAGCCTGTTGTTGGGCAGACGCAGAGGAGGCTTTGGCTGCATCTGCTCTGGCCTGTAGCCGCCGAAGGGCCTCGAAAGTGGACTTGGCCTGGTCCAGGAGGGTGGCGTCTGCCCCTGCCAGTACGAAAAGCTGGCCGAGCTTGTCAACGGGCAGGTCCAGGGCAGGCACCATGGTCTTGAGCGAGTACGATTCTGGAAGAGGCGTCGACAGCTGTGCCGAGACCGCGAACCGCTGGTGCTCCAGGTCAGTGGTGCCAGTAGCCAGTGTATGGATAAACTTCTTGGCGCCTTCGACCTTGGCTTCGGGCTCCACTTTCTGGATCTCCAGATCTGCCAAGGTCTCCTCCTGCTGCAACCTGCTCTTGAGCAACTCATCAATGCGAGTTGTGTAGTGGTGCACCTGGGCGGAGTGCGGCTTGCTGCTGACGATCTTGGACTTGATCGCCGTTCGTTCAGCTTCCAATGACTCTCGCGCCGCCACCACAGCAGGCCCGGTGAGGTTGCCCAACGCTCGGAGGGTCTGGCTGATCTCATTGAGGCGCTTCTGGTCGGTGTCGGTCTTGTCTTTGGTGTCCGTGTCCACTGCCTGCCCATTCTTTGCCGCCAAAACTTGCTCACGAAGCTTGGCAATCTCAAGGTCCTTGGCCTTAAGCTGCTTGTCCCTCTCGACTGCATAGTTGGCGACCGCTGCCTTCTGCCGCTGCTTGTCCCGTTCCATGGCTGGGGCCCTGAAACTCGGCGCCGTCTGCAGAGGCTTGGGGCCTCCGAACGCAGCACCTTTGTTGCATTGGCAGCTTGAGCAAGCATTGAGGTCACCTCTGTTCCACCACTTCTCACCTGTCCGCGGGTGAACACACCAGCGGCACAGCCACGGCGCGGCCCAGGCTCTGCGAGAACCGATCTTCGGCAGGCGCCCGCCATCCACCATGGGTCAGTAGTTGGGAACAGAGCGAGATCGGGAGGTACGGTCCCGAACGTGAAATTCGTTGTGAAGAAAGCGGCACCTCCAGCCTGGGCAGGCTGTGGGGAGGTGCGGAAGCGGTGAGGGCCGTCTGTTCCCTCCTGCCAAAAAGTCAAGTCCAGAGCCAACGCTACGGACTTGAGCCAAAATGGCTACGGAAGGATTGGGAGGAGGAGGAGGAGGAGGAGGAGGAGGAGGAGGAGGAGGAGGAGGAGGAGGAGGAGAAGGGGAATCACCCGTATTCGGCAGACTGCTTCTGCACCCACAGAGGATTTTCCGCAACTTCGGGGACGGTGGATATGACGGCGACGGCGACGCTGACGACGGCGACGGCGGACTTGAGACCCACCTCCGCGAAGCTCTTCTCCAGCCAAAGGCGCCCTCCGAGGAGAAAGAACGCCAAAGAAAATGCTCGACCTTCATCCACGCGGAGGCGTCGATGACGCCGAGGTCGACAACGAAAGGCGCCATCCGAGACCAGAGAACGCGCAACACAAACTCGACCCTCAAACGCTAAGACAAACCACTCCGTCTCCTCCCCCTCCCCCCTCCTCCTCCTCCTCCTGCTCCTTCTCCTCGTGTGCTCCGTAGCCATGTTGGTTCAAGCCGTTTTGGCTCAAGCAGTTTTCACGCGGCGTTGTCTGCGCGAGCCTGGCGTCCTCCTCGACGCGGCGGCGGCGATGACGCCGACGCCGACGAAGACGACCAGACGACAAAAACGCGGACGACGACAAAGACGAGGAAGACAACGACGATGACGACAACGCGGACAGGCGACGACGACGCCGGCAACCCCGACGACGACGGCGGCGGCGACTCCGACGACGTCGGCGACGACGACGACGACGACGGCCACGACGACGTTGGCGGCCTCGATGACGACGACGCCGACAACGACAACGACGATGGTAACGGCGACACTGGCGACGACGGCGACCGCGACGACGGCGACGCCGATGACGACGACGACGACGACGTCGTCGGCGACGAAGCCGACGATGGCGACGGCGAAGACGATTAGGCGACTGCGTCGACGACGACGACGACGACGACGACGGCGATCACGATGACGACGACCCCGACAACGACGATGGCGAATGCGGCGACGGCGAAGTTGACGACGACGAAGGCGACGGCGAAGGCGACAGCAGCCTCGGGACCCGCCTCCTCGAAGCTCTTCTCCAGCCGTGGCTGCACAGGGGCACTCCGAGGTCAAAGAACGCCAAAGAAAAATCTTGACCCTCGGACATCGTTCCTCGCCGCGGCGGCGGCGACGACGTTGACGCCGACAAAGACGCCGATAACGACAAAGACGACGCAGACCGCGACGATAACGACAATGTAGACAGACGACGATGGCGCCGCCAACGACGACGACGGCGGCGGCGACCATCACGTCGACGACGGCGGCGACGACGACGGCGGCGACGACGTTCACGACGACGACCGCGACGACACCGACGACGAAGATGGCGACGACGACGACGATGAGTTCGACCGCGACGACGACCACGATGACGAGAACGATGACACAGACGATGATGACGATTACGACAACGATAACGACGACGATGACGACAACGACGGCGGCGACGACAACTTCGACGTCGACGGCGACACGACGACGACGACCGCGACGACGAAGACGGCAACGACGTCAGCGGCGACGACGACGACGACGACGCCTGCGATGGCGGCGACGGCGACGGCGGCGGCGACGGCGGTGGCCTCGAGACCCACCTCCGCGAAGCCCTTCTCGCGCCGTGGACGCAACGGGGCCCTCCGAGGTCAAAGACCACACAAGGAACAAGTCGACTCTAGACCATCGACCCTCGACGCGGCGGCGTCGGCGACGGCGCCGACGCCGATGAAGGCCACAAGGAGCCCAGACGACGACCAACGCAGCGACAATGACGATATGATAAAGAGCGACGATGGCGATGACGACGACGACGACGACGGCGGCGACAACAACGACGACGAAGGCGGCGACGACGACGGCAGCAGCGACGACATCGTTAACGAGGACGACCGCGACGATGACAACGATGACGACGACGACGGCCACGACCACAAAGATGACGAAAAAAATGACGCCGACGACGACGACGACAACGACGACGTCGACGACGGCGACGACGGCGACGACGACGACGACGACGTCGACGACGGCGACAACGACGATGTCGACGACGAGGCAAACGACGTCGACGTCGACGTCGACGTGACGACGACGACGACGACGACTGCGACCACCATCACCACAGTGGCGACAACGACGACGACAACCACGATGGCGTCGGCGGCGGCGGCGGTGGCGACGTCGACGACGCCGCCGCCGCAGATGACCACCACGACTACGACGACGTTGGCGACGGCGGCGGCCTTGAGGCCCACCTCCGCGCGGCTCCTCTCCAGCGGGGGCGCAGGGGGCTCCACGGTGGGCGCGGCGGCTGCGGCCTCGGCCTCGGGCGCCGAGTCGTCGTCGCATCGTCGCCGTCGGCGCTCGTCGTCGCTCGCCGTCGCTCGTCGGCGCCGTGGGGGGGGGGAGGGGGTCTGGCTCTGGACCTCTGCTCAAGGCGACTGTTGGAAGCAGTGCGTCCTAGGGGGGAGGCTCCAACTGCTTGAGACAGGCGCCAGAAACAGCCAAGATAAGATCTACTCCATGGGGGGGTGGAGAGGGGGGGTGCGAGGGCCCGCGCCGATCGGCAAAACAATGAATGAGAAAACGATCACAAAACCAACGTCGATGAAGTGGCGCTCCCGACTCACATCCGCAATACGGGCATGCACTGCTCGGCGACCGGCCAGCGTCAAACTGACGGGCCTCCAACCGCGCTCAAACCGCCGCAGTGCAAAGGAGTCCAGCAAGTTGTCGCCCATGTGCGGTAGCGTGCAACTGCGCGAGCATGAAGACGAAGGCTCTGGTGGTCCACGCCTCCTCGTGGCCCAGCCCAGCAGGTGGTGGCCAGCGGTCTGCCGCCACTGCGCGGCCTTACCAGCCAAGGGTGATGTCAACCAATGTGTCTCGGGTCTGAGCAAAAATTGCAAATGGTTGGTGCGGAAATTTAAAAATTTCCTACAACAATTTGTTCCGTAATACGAACCCACAGGGGACCGCGTATGTGATGGGCGAGCTGGTCGGGTGACTGAGCCTCCATCAGCTCTGGAAAGATTGGCCCGACCTTGGTAATTCCTTCACGCCCTTGTGGCGGATGTATCCGCACATGCAACCATTGATTCAAAAAAGGAACGGAAGGCGAATGCCTGGATCGAGACCTGGCGTCCAGAGGTCCAGGAGTGTCACTTTGCATCTCGCCCGATTGCTACTGTCAGAATATGCTTCGAGTCGCCAACCCATACATAGAGAATGCGCCCAAAAAGCCCACAAGTCTAAGACGCGTAGGAGGCTCCCGCTTGCTTGAAGCCATGCTTGCTCGAACTGTTCAATGACGGGGTACGTATGTGAACCTGCTGCTTATAGCACTGGTTTGTGGTGGTGCTGCTGAACTGACTTCACCACGAGTTGCCTTTGTACCGCCCATGCTTGTCGCTTCCATGCCCCCGCGTCTACCCCGAGGTAAGATGCGCGCAAGTGCCATTGCGCTGATGCCCCATGCCTTCAGACGAGTGGCCACGAGAAGCCACTCCTTGGCGACCCGATGCTTCGAGCACAAAGAACGCGCTGTTGGTGGCCAGCGTGCGCTGACTTTGCGAGAACAGGCGCATTTCCCACTCGCCGTTTGGGAGCACACAACACCAAAAAACAGATCGTCAATCGGGACCTTCTCCCGCATATCTGGGCTCTTGATGTGCATCTTCTCGAATCTAAGATCTCAGGGACGCACTAACCCGGGTGAATGCAAACCCCGGTCAGTCTCACTTTGCAGGATCCTGCAAGATCCTGCAGGACCCTGCAGGATCCTGTACCCAAAACCCGGTCAATGCAGTCCTGGCTCTGCAGAATCCTGCAAAGTCCGGTGCTCTGACTGAGCCCGTTTGCATTGACCCCAGCCTCTTGAGCCCCGAAGATCCGCCGATCCCCGCTTGCAGGGGGTGAAAATGCGAGTGGGACATTAGGCTGTCCCCCTTCCCCTCCCCTGTTTCCCAGGGGCCCAACATGCAGTCTAAGGGGGGGGTTCGGAGAGCACAGACAGCGCGTCAAGATAATCCCAACGGTATAACGGTCCAAAATGCCTTCGAGACGGCTTACGGAAACTCCCAAATGGCTGCAGAGAAGGCCCCACGAGGCAAACATCGCACCCATCCCGAAGGAAACCATCCATGTTTAGCATGCCCGCCTGATGCGCTATCAGAGTCCAAAGCGGCCAAAAGTGCTCCCCAGATGGCTCCCAGACGGCTCACAAAGCCCCCAAGAGACCACCAAGACTGCCCCAGAGGACCCCAGGACGGCCCCAGGGGCCCCTAAGGCGGCCCAGGGGAGCCCGAAGAGAGGTCCGACAGGCGCCACAGAGGGGAAGCACGAACTGGCTTGACGAGCCTTTTCCCCAACGAGTACAAAACCCAACCATTCCCAGAGGTCCCCAAGAAGCTCCCACGAGGCCTCGTAGAAGCCCCCGAATCGACCCCAGCAGCCCCCAAGGCACGGAAGAGAGAGATAATTCAACAGCTGGCCATCGCTCGGACGTCCATTTTCTGTGTTTTTTTCGGTTTCGTGCGTAATTTTTCCGCGAAATGATCAAGGATGCTCCTCGATGGTCCGCGACGAAAGAACAATGCACACGTCCGAGCGATGCCAAGACGGTTCCGGAGCCTTCCGCACCGTGGCCCCAAGCCTCGGACGTCCCCCTCGAGCTGGAGCCCAGCGCGCGGAGGCGTCCTCGACGACGACCAAGACGGCCTCGAGGCTGCCGAGAGGAAGCCCCGAAACGCAAGACTCGGCCCACCCCTTCGGAGGAGGAGGAGGAGGAGGAAGAGGAGGAGTTTGAGCACAGTCGCAGCCTTGGCCTTTACAAGATCCATGACGGCCCGAGAAGGTCCCCAAGATGGCTCCAGGACGGCCTAGACAGCCGCCAAGAGGGCCCCAGAACATTCGAACAGCCGCGCAGCATGATCCAAGAGATTCTCAGCAGGGCCCCAAGAAAAGCCCAAGAGATAAAATTCGGACTAACCATCCGAGCCCTGCGCACAAACAGGACCCACGACACCGCCAACGACGCCCAAGGAACTCCCGAAGCCAGGAGACGCGCCCAAGACGCCAACAAAATACCCAACAAAACCCCTCCTGCCAATGCCGTCTTTCTTCTGGGGGTTGGCAGAATGGCTTAAGCCGACTGAATATGTAAGGCACCTCGCAAACTGCGTCCCACACCGAATGTCCTCTTAATGTTCTGGGTGGGCTGCCATAATTCCAACTGTGATCCGGACTGGTGGATAATGCCCGCAGCAGCGCGTAAATTCAACCCGAGGCAAGGAAAAACAGTCGGGCAATCCAGTTTGAGGGCGGCGGCAAGAAGATATTTAAACCCTACGCGGTCGTGCGAGCCAAAAATATCAAGAACAGCTTGCCAGCAAGTGACTCTGAGTTTGTGTGCAACGTCCGGAGATCCGAAATCACGCTTCCAACAAGGGGGGTGCTTTCAATAGCCCCATCCCAAACTGGCTCCGTGTCCGGAGACCAATGCTTGCTTTGATCGTCCCTTGCTGACTCCAAAATCTGCAGAAAAGGGGAAACATACCGATCACATGATCGCCGTTCGACTTCTCCAGTAGAAAACGCCCGACACATACCAGCATCTGCCACGGTGAAGTGAGTGATTCTTGAACAGCCTCGTAGATGTGAGCTAGTTCCCGACGGGCGCCTTCGGGGAGTCGAGTGGGCTGATTTGATCGACGCCCAGACCAGCACGTGCTTCAATTCGACCAACTGCTGTACAGAATTTCCGAGGTTCGAGAAAAGCACGCTGCTCTAGTGCAGCTGCTTCTCTAAGGATGTTGGGAACGCCTGATCGAAATTCTGCATCAGCATGCTCCATGGCCTACAAGGGGTAAACCTGGAACTTGACATCAACAGTGTCCGTGGGGTGGAAAGACGCTTCCCTTGATGACAGAGCTTTGTTGTTGCATGCGAGGCATTGCGAAAACCAGGATGGACAGCACTGAAGGAGGATTCGGGCACAATCTGATCTTGAAAAGACAGCAAGATGCCTAAACAGCACGCCGCAGAGCTCGTTGCGCTATCTCCTTCACCTGTCTGTGCTCATATTGCTTACCATGCCCGTGCTATGCTAAGCTAACTCTGCCAACCCACGGTAGCCAATGATCCGGGAGAAATGCTGCCAACCTGGTATAATCAAGGCCTGAATGCCTGCTGGACAATCTTGCGAAAGTTTGCGCGAAACTGCTGCAGCAGTTGTTCCACCTACTGCTCTCAGTTCTTCCTGACATGATGGGTTGAGTAGAAGAATGGAGGCAGAAGGGAAGGCAGAAAGAACAAACGGGAATTACGGAGGAGAAGGAGGAGGAAAGAGGCGGGAGGAAATGGGACATGCAGGGAGGAACAGTGGGGAGGAGGAAGGAACTTCCTTTCACCTTCCAGGTGTGACTCCCTCTCGTTGTGTCCCGCTCGTCGTCGTCCCCCTCGTCCCCGTCGACGACGGCGACGGCAACGACGACGAGGATGACCGACGACGACCGACGACGACAGACGACGACGACGACGACAACGGAGAAAGAACGACGGCCGACGACCCGCGGACGGCGACGACGCACACGGACGAGGACCGACGGGCGACCGACGATCGACCACACGCGACGGGCGACGACGGCTGCACCGACGGCCGGCGATGCCCGCGACGGGCGACGGTGGCACGACCGATTCCTAGAGATTCCAAGAGATTCCTAGTCCCCAGATAGTCCTAGAGATGCCTAGGAGATTCCTAGAGATCCCTAGGAGATTCCTGGAGATTCCAGAGGCTCCAGAGATTCCTGGAGATTCCCACGAGATTCCCAAGAGATTCCTAAGAGAGCAGAGACGACGACCGCGGCTCTCCTCGGGCTCCGGAGCGCGGGCGTCCGGGAGGGCATCCGTGCGGCCGAAGAGCTCCAGGCGCTGGGCCTGCGCGCCGGCCAGGAGCGCCGCCCCGTGCTCTTCTTCCCCCTTCCCCCGCCCCGATCCCCCGTCCCCTCCCCCCGTCTCCTTCCCCCTCCCCCCCGCTTTCCTCCTCCTCGTCCTCCTCCTCTTCCTCCTCCATCCCTCCTCCTCCTCCTCGTCCTCCTCCACCTCCTCCTCCTCCTCCTCCTCTGCCTCCATCGTGCTCCTCCTCCTCCTCCCCTTTCCCCATCACAGCTTTTTCGGATCCTCATATTGGCATGATTCTTCTGACGACTATCAACGTACAGCGCCGAACGGTCATTCATTGTCCGTGGGCGCGTGACTGAAGTGGCGTCCTGCGGGAAGGTTTGTAGTCGCGCTGTTGTTGCGTCTGTGGTTGAAGTCACGCTTCTACAGTACGGCAGGTTCGTGTCGTGCCGACCCCAGCGTTGGTTTTTGACACCGCAGGGATCGTTCAACCTTGAACGATCGGCCGTCTCCGCAACGTCCAATCGTTCAACATCGACCGATTCTGGGCCGCCGTCGGCGTTCAACGTTGAACGTCGGCGGCGGGGTCGCCGCCGGTCGACACGACGCGAACCTACCGTATACGTAATGTCGATCCCCCCTTCGGTGCCCTGTGTGCCCCCTCAACATTGGGGTGCTCTTCCCAGGGGTCGCACCAAATCTTCTCCAGGGCCAAATCATTGGACTCCGACTGCGCTCCTGGCCCCCGCCATACAGCAACAACAACTCCCGCCAAATGTGTTCTCACCTGCACGGTTTCCACCGGAGCCGTAGGCGAGGACGAGGTTGGAGGAGGTGGAGGAGGGGGAGGGGAAGGAGGAGGAGGAGGAGGAGGAGGAAAAGGAGGAGGGAGATGGAGGAGGAGGAGGAGGAGGAGGAGGAGGAGGAGGAGGAGGAGGAGGAGGAGGAGGACGGGTCGCCAAAGCCCTCTGGAGAAACCCTCCATTCTCACCATGCAATCCAAAGCCGCGCCCCCGCGGGAACCTCATCATACCTTCTTGGGGGAATGCGGCGCTCTCGCGCCGCGTCCCCTCGTGACGCATAGTTCGGCGGCGCCACGCGCCCAGCGCTCGGGAACCACGCTCTTTCCGTGGAGATCATCGCGATGTACAGTCGGGGCGTTGACATAAGGAACCCTAAATAAGGAACGAGGCCCCGTTTTCCCATAAGTTGAACTTCGATTTCCTATGGAAAACATAGGGAGGAAAACCTGAGGCAAGCTGTGAAACACTTAAGGAACGCGCAGCCCCTCCCCAACCAAAAGGGTTCCGTCTTCAGGGCCCCGACTGTATATGGGAACCACGCGATACAGTCATCGGCCTGACCTGAGGAAAGATACACTAGGAACGAAGCCCTTGTTTTTCCAGGGAGAAACGCAGAAGGGACGACAAAAAATACATAACGCATGAGGTTCGATAAATAACGCATGCATGCCTAAGGGACGACCGACCCCCAGTTGAAAAGGAAGTGCTCCTTATTCAAGCCGCTCACTGTTTCGCTCAAAGCCTCTTCGCGACTCATGTTGGATTGAAGCTTCAGCGACCCGCCCGCTCGACCCAGCCGTTTGGGCATGTACGGGGGCGGGATGGCCAGTGGGCCAAGCCTCCCTCCCAACCAAGACTGAAGGGGCCCTGGGACACACAAACAAATGCACACCAATGAAAAGATTCCCCATGTTTTCGCATAATTAGCTTCTGGCTCTCTGTCTTCCCCCCACCTCCCATATTTTCAAATATTTTCTGGGGAATCGAGGACTAATTGTGTCTGTGTGTTTTTCCCTCTCCTGAATGCACGGGGGCGGGATGGCCAGTGGGCCAAGCCTCCCTCCCAGTCAAGACCGCGCACTGCCCGGGCTCTGGCGCGCGCCCTGCCACGGCGGCCAAGTTTCCGCTGGCCTTCGAGCCCACGCCCTGTCGCGATTTTCGCGACCACGCCCCGAAGGAGGAAACAAACCAAACAGCAATGCACTCGCAGGGGGGGGCAGCGTCCCTGCTTCACTCCACTCCACTAAGGGGGAGGCTGCTTCCCAAACTAACCAAACACCACTCCACAATGCACTCGCGGGAGGAAACTAACCAAACAACCACGACGACGACGACGGCGCAGGGGCCCCCGCCCTTTGAGCCGAGCGCCGCGAAAGGGACCCAAGCGCTGCGAAAGCACCCCCCCTTGCACGCGAGCGAAGCACAAGCGGAAGAGGGGAACGAACATGGGCGGAAAGGGGATGGGCCAAGACGGAACCCCGACCCCCCGAAAGCCTGATTGGGCGACCGTCCGCAATCAGCAGGCGCCAAAAACGACGACTAAAAAACATCCCCCGCCTGTGAACCCCAAGCCGGGGGCTCTTTGGTCCATTTCAGCCCAGGACCCCACCGGAGAAACCAAAAGGGGGGTATAACGCCCAAAGTCAAACAAAAGCGGACGCGAGTGCGAGGCTTCTGGAGAGGGGGGGGGCAGGCGCCGAAACACGCCCCGCCAGAAGGCGGGACGGCCGCGTCCGACAGCGGCTCTCAGAAGCTCCCGCTCCTGATCTTCGCTGGGAAGCCCGTGAGAAAACAAGCATTTCACAGCGAATCCAACCGCGGAGAAGAAGGGCGACGAACGACTCGATGGAACAGCACATCCTCGATGACCGACAGGAAGACGCGACACCAAGCGAAGCACGAGGACGAAGCCGGAGCGAGCGCGAGATGCGCAGCACCGGCCTCGCGGAGACAAGAGCCCAGCCGCGAAAGGCCGTCGCTCGGCCTCAGCGATCTGTTTTGCGGGGGGTCGCCGGGTCTCAGGGCCGGGACCGCCTGCCCCCGGTGATGACTCCACCGTTGGCCCCAGGGCCCGCAGGCCGCGCTGCGGCGAGGGCGGGCGCGAGACTGCCCGACGCGGGCTGCCGGGGCCCCGGTGCCCGAGACGGGCGCAGACGCGAGCCGCGCGCCCGCCGACGCCACGGCTCCTCGCATGCACCGCGAGGGGCAACGAGCACCGCGTCGAAAGAGAAAGCCAATCGCCACGCCACTGGACCCTCCGCGACTCGCACAGGCTCACGTGTCACAACGCCTTCGGCTCAGGCGCTCACCCCTGAAGAATGCACAGCGCAACGGAGACACCGGGTGTCGCAACAGGCGTAGCGCGCCACGAACATCGTGGCGCGCCACAACAGACTGAGTCGCCCTCGGGTCGGGTTCCCCTGCCGCAAGTACTTCAGCGCCAGGTCGCCCCGCCGCAGCGGAGACAGACTTCGGCCAGCGCTTCGCGCCAGGTTCCCCCGCAGCCACGGAGACAGAACTCGGCAAGCGCTTCGCGCCAGGTGCCCCAGTCGCCGCGGGGACAGACCTCAGCGGGCGCGACGCGCCAGTTCTCCCCGCCGCAAAGGGAAGCGGTCCAGCGCAGTGCGTAGCGTCGAGCTTCCCCTCCGCATAACACGCGCGCCCGCCCCCCCCCGCGCCCCTTCCACTGCCCGTGGGATGGCCGACTTGGGCCGCCAGGGCAGGCGCGCCGCCGCGGCGCCTATACTCGACCGCCCTCGCACCGAGTAGTAGGAGCCGACCAACTGGCCATCGCTCGGACGTCCATTCCCTGTGCTTTTTTCGGTTTCGTGCGTGGTTTTTTCGCCAAATGATCAAGGATGCTTCTCGATGGCCCTCGCCGAAGGGAAAATGCACACGTCCGAGCGATGCCAAGCGAATCGCGACCGCGGGCCGACTTCGGCGGCGGCGCGCCACCTCTGCGGCCCAGAGCAGGCGTGGTCAGTCCTCGCGGGGAAACGCCCTCCCGGGCGCCGTGTTTCGGGCGCGCAAGGAGCGCCGCTTCCCCATGCGATGGCCGAGGCGGACGGCCGGGCGCTTCGCCAGCCCAGGCCAGAACGGCTTCCTGAGGGCCAGCGCTGGGGAGCCGCCCTTCTTCGTGGTTGCTGCAGGCTCGTCTCCGCCGTTGCCCACGTGCGCGAAGGCGCACGCGCCCCCGCGCTTGCAGCCCTCGCCCCGGCGGCGCCAGCGCAGCGGCCCTCCCCCTTCCCCTCCCCCTCCCCCTCCCCCTCCCCCTCCTCCTCCTCCTCCTCCTCCTCCTCCTCCTCCTCCTCCTCCTCCTCCTCCTCCTCCTCCTCCTCCTCCTCCTCCTCCTCTAAGTTCTCCCTCACCCTCCTCCTCCTCGCCGCTCGCCCTGCCCCATGGAACTAAATGCAGACCCGCCCGCGCCGAGCCGTCCAGCCGACGCCCAGACAGCAAACGTCTTGAGGCAAAACAACATGCTAGGGGCTTGCCATTTTCGGCATCTGAGACGAAGCCAGGACGAAGATGAAATCTGGGGAGGAGGAATCCCGAATCTCTCGGAGAGTTCCGGAAAGCTCTGAGAGCGTTCTGGAACGCTCTGGAACGGATTCATCCTCGTCCTGGCCGCCCTGGCCCCGCCCGAGCATCTGAGTGCCGCTGTCAGGCCCTGGGACCGAAAACTGTTCGGGATGACAAGTCTGCCCGGACTCCTGTGGACCCCGAGGTGCTCAGATTGACATGCGTGGGCCTTGGGGGGCCCTTACGGGGACCAGCTTCTCATCCTGGGCCGCTCTTTGACAGCCCAAGGGACTGAAACTTTGAACAATCATTCTTGGAATCTAGGCTTGTGGATGCCATGACAATAAACACACCAACAATCATATTCTTGAAATCAAGATGTGTTTAAAATGTGTAAACCATGTTCTCAACATGTGTCAATCATATCTTTTAAAAATTATTGAAAGCAGGCTTGAAACATGTTTTAGACATCTGGCAAGTATTTGGCAACATGCTGCCTCTCCATGAATCGACTTCCGCAAATCTAGACCCCGCGGCGTCGAGATCGACGACCTGGCCTGTCGAGGCGGATCCGGCCGCGGTAGCGAGGGCGCCACAGGGCGCCCCCCACGGGCCCACCAGATATGCCAAGCCTTCTGCGACCCTCGGCCCTCCTCCTCCGTCGTCCTCCCGCCACACCCCTGCCGGAGACGCGAGCGGCCACGGACCAGCTCTTCCAGGCATGCCGCGAGATGCCCCGACCCGGACCAGCCCAGAATGGGCCAGCCCCGCGTGGCTCCCGAGCCCCGGTAACCAACGAGGGCGGATCCACCAGGGACTGGCTGACCCCCGTCATGGCCGGGCCCCCAAACTGCCCCCAGAGCCGCGAGGGGGGAGGAGGAGGAGGAGGAGGAGGAGGGAGGAGGAGGAGGAGGAGGAGGGAGGAGGAGGAGGAGGAGGAGGAGGAGAACGAGGAGGGAGAAGGAGGAGGGGTGAGGTGGTGGTGGAGGTGGTGGTGGTGGGTTGGTGGTGGTGGTGGTGGTGAGTGGTGGTGGTGGTGGTGGTGGTGGTGGTGGTGGTGGTGGTGGTGGTTGGGGGTGGTGGGGTGGTGGGTGGTGGTGGTGTGGGGGTGGGTGGTGGTGGTGGTGGTGGTGGTGTTGGTGGTGGTGGTGGTGGTGGTGGTGGTGGTGGTGAGGAGGAGGAGGAGGAGGAGGAGGAGGAGGAGGAGGAGGAGGAGGAGAAGGAGGAGGAGGAGGAGGAGGAGGAGGAGTTTCAGGAGGAGTTTCAGGAGGAGGAGTAGGAGGAAAAGGAGGAGGTCCAGGAGAAGGAGGAAGAGATGGAGGAGGAGGGGGAAAATTCTCTCTGTAAATCTGTGGGCGCGACCGAGGGGGCTCTAGCGGTTCAGCCCGAGCTGCAGCAGCGCACTGCGAGCAGCCTCCCATGGAAGAACACCGTGCGCCCAACGAGACCTCGCCGGGCAGCTCGACGGGCGTGTGGCTCCTCCCACACCGCGAGCGCCCACGAGGGCGCAGAAAAATCAAACATCTTCAGACGACGGCAGCCCGGATGGCGAGACAGAGAGACAGTCGAGCGCTGAAGGAACCCACCTAGGAGGAAGACAAAAACTGCATGAGCATAGACTTCTGGCGCTCCGCGCGGATGTCTCGGATCTGCGCTGGAGCCCTCCCTGGCGCGCGGAGGGCGACAGGGGCGGCGCTGGAGGCGCCGCCCGGGGGGCCCCAGCGCGGCTCCAAGAAATCTGCGCGGAGCGCCGAAAATTACCTGTTGTGCCGCTGTTTCTTTTTCGACCATCGGTCCGAGCTCCAGGGCCGGCTGCACGCCCCCACCACCGTGAGACTGAGCGACAAAAAAACACCGGGAGAGAGGGGTGGCGGGTGAGAGTGCAAGCGGTGGCCAGGCAGGGCCAGACCCTCAAGAACGGCAGACTGCATCACCGTCCCCGTCGAGCGGGCGTCGACACCCAGAAACCACGGGGCAGTCGTCCTCCGCAGCCCAATGGGATTCTGCAACTCGTCTCGCGCCTGTCTGGGATCCCGGTCTCGACCCTCGAGCGCCTCGAGCAGCCCGGAGCTGGTGGGGAAACCTCCTACAGGTACGGTGCCCTGCCCATCCTGTACAGGTAGCATGTCACATACACGTAACACTTCGGGGCAAGGTGGTCTTTAGCCCCTGGCAACCTCTTGCCACAACAGTCCTGTCCGAACTTACAGTGCCGCCTCGACGCGCAGTCACCGCATGTGGTGCACAAGCAGAAACTAAAGGTTGTCGTCGAGAAACAACAGAGGAGGATATGGAGGACGAGGAAGAGGAGGAAAATGAGGCCGTCGCCACCGCCTCCTCTTCCTGATCCTCCTCCTCGTCCTCGCCCTCATCCCCCTCCTCCTCCTCCTCCAGATTCCTGGTTCCTGATGGCGTTGGTCCTCCTCCTCGTCCTCCTCCCCCCCTCGTCTCATGAGATCTTCGATTTGGGCACAGGAAGGAAAAGTACAAGTACGCGTATGACACGATGGCACGAGTGCAAAACAAGTATGGACAAAGCGAGCGAGCCAGGCGAGGTCCACGAAAGGCAAGCGTGCAATATGTGCAACGCGGAAGTACGGACATGAAACACATAAGAAGAAAGACCGAACTGAAGGGGCCCCAAGACACACAAACAAATACACACAACTAAACATATTCCCAAGATTTTTCCATATTTTATGGGTTTCTGTCTTCCCCCCAACTTCCCATATGTTCCCATATGTTTTGGGAAATCGAGGATTACTTGTGTCTGTGTGTTTCTTTTCCTCCTGACGAACGCACATCCGAAGTACAAACAAAATGAAACAAGCGCCGCAAACGTACGAACGAAACTCCGACGTGTGAACAAAGCATGCCAGACATGTCTCTCGCACACGCTTCCCTCACGCTTCGGACTTCGGAACTCCTGTACCTCGTGCTTCTGCACGGCACACTTCTCGTACATACTCGTACAGCGGCGTGGGCATTCTTCTCTTGCAGTGGGGATACGTTGCGCTCCTCTGGGGGGGTCTGGTGTGGCTGGCCAGAATAGCATGGCCCTCGCCCTCCTCGCCCCAGACCCCCGACGCCGTGATTGGTTCACAACGTCGACCCTCACGAGTCTGGACCCATTTTCCCCTGGACCGGTTTTTCATCCTGAGTCTTTGGACACCCGACATGGGTACCGAAAGAATGGGTACAATGCCCAACAACAAATGTTGTCCCAAACCAACAGCGGCCGCTGCTGGGCAGGCGGCCAACTGTCTCAAATGGACACAGGCCGCGGCGGCGCGGACAGCGAGTCCTGTCCAAATTGAACAGGGACTGCTGTTGGGCATCGTACCCATTCTTTCAGTACCCATTTCGGGCGTGTCGTTTTCTGACGGTCCCGAGGCCCGGTGAAGGCCCCCGGAAACAGACAGACAGGCAGACAGACAGAGAAGCTAGGTAGTCGAAGCCAATCTGGCAGGCCCAATCTGGCAAACGGGGGCAATCTGGCGAGGGAGCTAGCGCGAATCCAGTCTGGCGAAGAACCCCAATCATCCAGTTTGGCCGGGCCAGATTGGCCCTGGAGGCCCAATCCAATCTGACAGTCTGGCCTTCGACTACCCAGAGAGAAGCCGGGCGCCCGGACGGAGCATCCGCAACAGAGCGCTGACCAGGGATTCGCCACAGCCCCGCACGCACCCCTCAGACGTGCGCCCTGCGAGCGAGCGCCGGGCCACACATCGACGTCGTGAGCACCAGAAACAGATTCGTCGGGACAACGTGCGGGTCGACAAGCGGAGGGGGAGGAGGGGGGCGAGGAGGAGGAGGAGGAGGAGGAGGAGCAGGAAAAGGAGCAGGAGGAGGAGGAGGAGGAGGAGGAGGAGGAGGACGAGGAGGAGGGGGGGGGGAAGGAGGAGGAGGAGGAGGAGGCAGGAAACAACGGCGCGAGGGGGTCTGGAGCCATCCTCGCCCTCGCCGCCGCCGCGCCACCAGGGCCCGCCCTGCCCTCCGCCCCCCCCCCCCCCCCCCGAGACGCGCCTCGGTGAGCAGCCCCCCGCGCGCCCTCTTCTTCGCCGGCGGGGCGGCCCCGGGGGCCTTCCGCCGCGCGCCGTCGGCCCTGGCTCATGTTGCCCCCATCGCACCTCCTCCTCCTCCTCCTCCTCCTCCTTTTCCTCCTCCTCCTCCTCCTCCTCCTCCTTTCTCTCCTCCTCTCCTCCTCCCTCCTTTTCCTCCTCCTCCTCCTCCTCCTCCTCCTCCTCCTCCCCCTCCCCCTCCTCCTCCGACCAAATCCCAAAAATAATTTCGAACACACCAGAAACATCGAAACAGTGTCGAACGAGTCTCGCCTCCCGGGGCGCGACACATGAAAGCACTCCAGCTCTGGTGCTCTCCTGGTGCTCGAAATCCTGTCTGGCGGGCAAGGCTGAAGTAGGTTGCAACATCGGAAAGCATGGCTCCCGCCGTCATCCTCATGCGGGGAGACGTACAGTCGGGGCGTCGACCTAAGGAACCCTAAATCAGGAACGAGGCCTCTATTGTCCATAAGCTAAACTTCGACTTCACATCGAAAACCTAAGGAAAACCCAAGGCACGCTGTGAAGCAATCAAGGAACACGGAGCCCCTCCCCAACGAAAAGGGTTCCTTCTTCAGGGCCCCGACAATAAGAAGAGAGACCGAACGCACGTCCGGAGTACAAACAAAATGAGACAGGCGTCGCAAACGTACGAACGAAACTCTGGAGTACGAACTCTTGAGTAGCTCCCGCCGTCATCCTCATGCGGGGAGACGTAAGCCTCGGGCACGGGGGACCCGGATCGGCCCCACGAGGCCAGCATGAGGAGGAGGAGAATAGGAGGAGGAGGAGGAGAAGGACGAGGAGGAGGAGGAGAGGACGAGGAGGAGGAGGAGGAGGAGGAGGAGGAGGAGGAGGAGGAGGAGGAGGAGGAGGAGGAAGAGGCCCAGTCTGGAACTCGGCGCGGGCTCCCAGTCCGCAGACACCCCACGCAAAAAAGGGGCCGCCAAAGTCCAGGACGCGCTCGTCCAAGAGCGTCGGCAAACCCGAGTCCCGGCGTTCTCGAATGTCACGCTTCCCCGACTCATCCTGGCTACCTACCAGAGTCAACCCAACCCAAAGACTCGAGGTTCGGGTTCGGGAGGCGGGTACGGGCTTCCTGCATGTATTTCCAAATGCTCCCCGACCCCCCCCCCACTGGAGATGGAGGGCAAATCGGGGCCTTCGGGTTGGGTTGGGGTGGTTGGTGGGTGGTGACTCATCCTCGCCACCGCCGGCGCCACCAACGTCGTCGTCGTCGCCGTCGCCCCAGCCGTCATCCTCGTCCTCGCCACCGCCGCCGCCACCGGCGTCGTCATCGTCGTCGTCGGCGGCGGCGGCGGAGGCAGAGGAAGGAGGGAAAGGGGAAAAGAGGGGAAGGGGAATGCGGAACCGACACGCCCGACATCGTGATGTTTCGCGACGTGGATCCCAGAGGTGTCGGACATCCTCGTCTCGTCTGAAACTGTTGTTCGACGACCCCTGCACCCGAAAGCACCCCCACGGGGGCCGAACAGCTCTCCCGTCGTGTTTCTGTTGTCCGCGATGCGAGGGAGGTGCATAGGGTGGGATGGGGGGAAGGGGGAGGGAAAGGGGAGGAGTGGACGGGGAGGAGGAGGGACGTAGCAGGGAACCAACTGTGCGAAGCGGGGATCTATCCATATCCACCGCCTGGGAAACGTCGCCCTGGTGCCCCAGCGGACGGCAGATATGGATACATTTCGGCCCCCAGGGGCCCGAATATGTCCAGATCCACCGCCTGCCGAAGCTCCGAAAATTGCCCCTCCAGGCGGTGGTCATGTAGAAATTCCGGCCTCGGAAACTGTACACATACACGCATCCTGACTGGGCCCAACTCTGGGATCGGCATGATATGCAATTATGGAGTGAGAGCGAAATCAGACGGAGTCCCCCGATGGCTAAACATCGGAATCGATTTCGGCTTGACCTGCGTGCGGTCGAAGCGACGCTGCGCGAGGGCGAAGCGAAACCCGGCCTTATCAAGGCAAACTGCTGGGACCCAAAATGTCCCGCGGCCGTATGGTTGGTCCGTGGTTGTTCCGTGAATGCACCGTGGTTGTCCCGTGCCTATCTCGTGGCTCTTCTGCGGATATCCTCGTACCGGGTTCCGGGCTCCCGGCCGATGTCGGTGGGCGGCTGGGATCCTTTTTTGGACGCTTCCAAAACAGCTGCGCGACCGCGTGTTTCCAGGCGTCCCTGACTAACCAATTCACCTGGTAATCGTTTCTGGATGGGCTGGTGGGGATACTTTTGGTCGGCGGCCGCGCGACAACGGTCTGGCGGCAACAGCGAGGCCCGGGGCAACGGAACACGGCAAATTACACGCGATGCGAGGTGCGCATACGCACTGAGCAAAATGCTCCGCATTAAGGCGAACGCACATAGGCGCCAGCTACACCGAAGTGAAGCAGACAGCAGTGCTAGTGCAACGGAGAACGTCGCCCTGTCGGCGCCAGACCAGGCAACTGGTGGGGATACGCGGAGCGCCAAGAATTCCCGGATTCCTGGTGTCATATTATTGGCCTACTTCGGTGGGCGGCCAGGCTCCCGGGATCCAGGTTGTGGGCCCCGGCTTGCCCGCACGGGAGGGCCCCAAGGTCTTCGTCCTGGTCCTTGCTACCAGGGTCGGAATGCCATAACATATAGAAACAAGCAGAAAAGACAGATCACCGATTAGAGAGCTCAACTGGTCAGAAGCGAGAGGATAGATAGCAGATATTGGAGAATGGACCGTAGATCGTGCAACCAAAAAGGAGTTTTACAAAACGGGGAAAAAGCGAGAGCGAGAGAGAGGGATTCAAAAAACACAAAAATAGAAAATGGGTGTTCGCGACCACGGCCATATTCATGCATATACATATATATATATATGTATATACACAGACATACATACATACATACATACATACATACATACATAAACACATGCATGCATGCATGCATGCATGCATGCATGCATGGCATGTATGCGTGCATACATACACATGCACATAAACACATACACGCGCATATGCAAAGACATTCCCACAGACCTGTGCATGCATACGTAGAATTGCACGTCTGATCTTGTACGTGTAACACCTACACATATACATACATCAAGCACACACATAACGAGCGCACATGTACATCTGACTATACGTAATAACATGCATATATACAAATGCACATGCCAATACACATACGCATATACGCATGCATACACACATGTATATACACACGTGATGAATTGCATGCGCATGTATGACACATCCACGTGTAAATTGATGTGTAAATGTAAAATGTATGTGTAGATGTGCATTGTGTGTCCATGTATATGTTCAATTGTATGTATGTGCGCGTGCGTGAAAATAACGCGCATGTGCGTATATGTGGTACTGCACGTTCATGGGTATGGCTACGAAACTACACCACGAATGTTTACCTGTGACTCTGTATGTACATGTTTATGTGTATACACCTGTACGTACCAGTACATTTGCGTACTGAGTCCACGCTGCGCGCCTTGCGCGATTCGTTTCTACCTGGCTGCGCAATCGTCGTCGATGACCTTGTGCTAACCCACGAAGCCCAACATACCAAGGGAGAGGTCCCCAGGCAAGGGCCGCGCTTGGCCCGCCGGTGTGGTCGGACTCTTGGGAGACGCTTCGGGCTCTGTGGGCGGTCACGGAACCGTGCAAAACAGACGTGCGACGTGCCGATAGGCCCCAGTCTTTCTCAAACTGCGCAATGGACGTGGGTGCCACGGTGGTCCAGGATGGCCCGCCCAAACGTCTCCTGGCCACCAGGCCGCCGCCGCAGCCGCCGCCGCCATCCCCGCGGCCGCCGCCGCCGCAGCCGCCGCCGCCGTCGTGACGATCGCGGCGGCGGTCGGTGTGGTATGAAGGGGCCCCAGGACACACAAATAAATACACACAAATAAAAATATTCCCCATATTTTCCTATACCCTGTGACGCCCCTCGCGGGGGTAGAAACCAATCGGGTGCAGTTTACTCCGTGGGGCGTCGCGTTGTCTCCTCCTCCATTCGTGTTCTTGCGCCAAATGTCCACCCCTGAGGCTCTCGGAAGTTTCCATCGCAGGTGGTCAGAATAATGTCTCGAACATCGAAGACTAAGTTATTCGAGGTTTCGTCTTCGACTCCGTTCCCAGAGCCCCGAGGTGGTGTCTGTTCATCGTGTCGGCGCCTTTGTTGTCGTAAAATTATCCTCGGAGGGCCTCTTTGTGACGCTCCTGAGAGAGGGGAGGAGGGAGGAGGGAAGGAGGAGGGAGGAGGGAGGAGGACGTATGGGGAGAAGGCGGATCTCGCGCACGGCGCTATTGGAGCCATCGAGGCTACGGATGAGGTAGGAGGAGGAGGAGGAAGAGGAGGAGGAAGAAGAAGAGGAGGCGGAGGAGGAGGAGGAGGAAGAGAACGAGTAGGAGAAGGAGGAGGAAGAAGGGGAGGAATCATTAAAAGCAGGATGGATGAGGAGGCGGATGACGACGACGAGCAGGAGGAAGAGAGGGAATGACGCCCGTCCTGGAGCCTCTTGGTGTCGCCTTGGCTCTCCTAGAGCGTGCTGGGGGTCCTGTGGCCTGTTTGGGCTCTTAGTGGCCTCTTGGGGCCTCTTGGAGCCTCCTGGGCCCTCTGGAGCTCCCTGAGTGTAATTCAAAGTGGATCCTCCGGGGGGCTCTTGAGATCTCGTGGGCTCTCCCGGGGCCGCCATGGGCCGTCCAAGAACTCCCTCGCGGGGGCGGAATGATGAAAACAATTTCACGCATGGGGGCCTTTCTGTTGAGAAGGGGGCGCGGTGCAGAGTGGGTCCTCCTGTGGCCCTCCGCAGATCTCCTAGGCACTCCCGAGGCCGCCATGGGCCCTCCTGGAGCCTCTGGGGGCCTCTAAGAAGCCTCTCGCGGGGGCTGAAAAATTACGACAGTTTCACGGATGGGAGCCTTTCCGTTGAGAAGGGGAGCGCGGTGAAAGGTAATAAAGTGACGACAGTGTCGCACTTGAGGCCCAAAATCGTTCTTGGGCACCTCGGGCGCGAACCCCCCTCCCGCATAGTACGGTGCGATTTCCCCTCCCCCCGTTGTCCCGCCGGACCCCGGGAGGGTGATTTTTGTGGTTTTCGCTTGTAAGAAACACTTCCCCCCCCCCTCGACGATGACGGAGGGCAGGCGGCGGGGGTGGGCGGGTTGGCGGGGTGGCGGGGTGGCTGGGGTTGCGGGGTGGCTGGTTGGGCTGGTTGAGCCGGTTGAGCTGTTTGGGTGGTTGGTTGGTTGGGCTGGCTGGTTGGGCTGGCTAGGGCAATTGGTTTCGATTTTCTGGGTTTCTGTCTTCCCCCCCACTTCCCAGGGGAATCGAGATTTAATTGGGTCTGTGTGTTTCTTTTCCTCCTGATGGTAGTCGTTGTGGTGGTGGCGGTGGTCGGCGTCTGGGAACGTCATCGGACGATTGCACGCTCTGGGGAGCGTTGAGCTGTTCTGGGTGTGGACGCCGCTGGCCGACGTCGTTCGATCGACGTCTCTGCGGTCGTCTTCAGGCCTCTGGAGGTCGCCGGGGCTCTTCGTCGTCACTGTCGTCGTCAACGAGGTCGTCGTAGTTGTGGTCTGGGTCGTCGTTGTCACCGCCATCGTCGCCGCAGTCATCTACGATCAAAGATGGAGAATGAGGGATCGTCCAGCGCTCGTCCAGCGTGCAGGCTCTGGCCGCCGCTGCCAGCACAGACGCGGCCGGCGTCGTCGCCGTCGCGATCGACTCTGAGCGCTGTTGTGCGGGTTTGGACGAGGTTGGCCAGAATCTTCCGGGACATCGATGTAGATGTTCAGGAGAGGCTTCCGGAAACATCGCACGGATGGATGGGAGAAACTCTGGGCGCATGCTGCGATCCGTCTTGAATGAGTCCAAGACGGTCGGGGAGGACTCGAAGGGGCCCCACGTAAGGCAGCTCTGGGAGCGCCCCAAGACACATCACAAAAACAACTGAGACGTATCACAAGCCCGTCCTCTACAAGATAACAGTGTGTGTTGAAATTGTGGAATGTCGATGCTTCTCCGAGGCCTCTCGGGGCGTCCTCGGTACCTCGGGAGGGGCAGAACACTTACGCTACCTCGTCAGGGACGGTGTTGTTGACAAGTGCGTGCAGTGTTGGGCCCTCTTAGACTTCTCCTGAGACCCCGCAGGCTCCCAGGGAGTTCCGGGAGCGCCCCGAGAGACCCAGCTCGTACCACGAATCTGACACAACGCCGTGCCTGACGAGGCTGCGATTCGCGTCAGATGTTTCTTACTCTTTAGGGCCTTCCTGGGGCTCTCCTGAGACCTCCAAAAGGCCCCCAAGAGAGCTTTACGGGACGGCCTGGGAGGGATCGAAGGGGCACCAATGGAGCTTCAAAAGCGGCCAAAGAGGCCCAACAACTTAACACTCATTGAACACAACGCCGTCCTTGACGAGGAAGCGGTTTGCGATTAAATACTGTGTGTCAAATGTTGGGCCCTCTTGGGGCTCTCCTGAGACGTTGACCAGCCCCAAGAGAGCTCTCAACGACGGCCTGGAAGGGCTCCAGGGGGCCCCACGGGATCTCCAAGAGCGCCCCAAGAAACACAAACACATGTCATACATCTAGCACAAAGCCGTCCCTGACGAGGATGCGATGTGTCATAAATGTGTATGAAATGTCAGGGCCCCCTGGAGCTCTCCTGAGACTCTCAAGAGCCCCCAAGACAGCCCTAGAGGACGGCCTGGGAGTGCTCGAGGGGGCACCAAGGGAGCTCCAGGAGCGACCCAAGAGACCCCACGATTTGCCTCACGCTCGACACAACGCCGCTCGGGACGCTGGGCCCGAAAGTGCCTTACCTGACTTGGCATGACAACTTCGCCTGAGACGGCCCGTTTCGCCTGAGACGTCCTCGAAACTCTGGGGGTCATAGTTGCCATGGCGTGAAGTGGTCTAGACTATTGCGCCTGAGACGTCCTCGTAACTCACAGAGGCCCTGGTCTGGCCAATTTCGCCTGAGATGTCCTCGCAAGCATGGGTTCAAAGATGCCCCTGCCTGAGGCACTCCAGCTGGTCGAGCCTTGGGCACGGCAGCCCTTGTCTTCCCCTGCACTGCCGATTACATTTCCACCCTTGTCTTGGGAAAAGACGATGGGCTTGCGGCTTGTGTCTGCGTGCCTTTTCTCTGAAGGGGCCCTGGGACACACAAATAAATACAAACAAATAACAGACTTCCCAATATTTCCCCATATTTTCTGGGTTTTTGTCTTCCCCCACACTTCCCATATCTTCCCATGTTTTCTATGGAGTCGAGGCTTCATTGTGTCTGTGTGTTTTTGTTTCCCTCCTGATTCCCTCCCGACCGGGCCGGGACGGGCACGGAGGAGGCCTCCTCGGCCCCCAAACGCCTGGCCAGCTGCTCCGCGTGGCAGCCCCTGGGAGCGCAGTGGCACAGGAGCCGCACCCGCAGACCGCGCGCCCTGTGCGAGGCGACCACCCCGCGGAGCTCGCGGAGCGCCGCCCGGACACCAGGCGGACCTCCAGCGCTCGGCCCAACAAGCGCGCACGAGGAGATAGAACAGATCTAGAGTCTAGGCCGATAGAAGCCCGCGCACAGACACACACACACACACACACACACACACTCAGACGTGACTGTGTATACATATATATATATGTGTCCGAAGCACAAGCAGCGGCATAAGCATAAACTTGTGGCGCTCCGCGCGGATTCCGTGGATCTGCGCTGGACCCCCTCCCTGGCGCGCGGAGCGCGCCAGGGGCGGCGACGGAGGCGCCGCCAGCAGGCGGGCGGGGCCTGCGCGGAGCGCCAAAACTTTTTGCTCGTGGCGCCTTTACCTCTTCGAACTGAGGCATCTGGGTCCCGCCCCAGGGACCTTCGCAGAAAAAGCCACGGGGCAACGCATAGTGCTAGGTCGGGCATGTCCTCCTACAGGCGGATTTGAAGCGATGTGTGCCGTGCTCAGGAATTGCCACAGATAGTCCACAAACAGTCACACGATCCGCCCCAGACTACATTTGTTGAAACTCCTTCTGAGTAGTCCTCCTCTTGAGGGACATGCCCGACTTGAGCATAGCGCACCGTGCGCTGGCCCGGCCACCGCCTGAGCCGACTGCGGCCGGCGCTCGGCTCCCCTCCGTTGAGCAGGGACCGACCGTCCCGGCATTCCTATAGTCCTACCACGAAATGTTCTTAGAACCCCAAAAAAGTTCTAAGAACACAACACTGTGCTTAGGGCGTAGACCCGATGTGAGAAAACAAGACGGACTCCGCCAGAAATGTTCTAAGAACATTTCGTGAAAGCCACAAAAGGTTCTTAGACCATTGTTCCCAGACCCCCGACGTCATAATTTTTTCATGACGTCGACCCCCAAAGATCCCGACCCTTTCCCCGGGACCAGCTTTGCATCCTGAGTCGTTTTTTGACGCTCCCGAGGCCCGGCGAGGGCCCCGGAGGCCGAAGATGAAGGAAAACCTCCCGTCGTGATTTTTTCATTACTCGAGGGGGTCTGGGTTCGTGGAAGCCACAAAAGGTTCTTAGAATTTTTTGGTTGGGGCTATAGATAAGCAAGGGCGCTTCGCCACTGCTCCCCTCCGAGGCCGGCGCCCCGCCCGGGGGGGGGCGCCAGCTCTGCGCCGCGCCCGCGGCCCCCAGCCCGAGGCCCGGGCCCGACGCGGGGCAGCTCTCTCCAAGGGCAGGCCCGCGGAGGCATGCGAGAAAAGGGCCCCTCCTCCGTTGTAGGCGGCCCCTGCCTATGGCGGGAGGCCCCTCCCCGAGGCGCGCGCCGGTGGCCAGGCCCCCGCGGCCCGCCCGCGCCCGCGGCCCTCCGAAGGCCTCGGCGCCCTCGGCCGCCCGCGCCCGCCGCCGCGCCTCGGGCCGAGGCCGAGCCCCGCGGCGGGGCCCCCCGGAGGCTGCTCGGGGGCCCCCTCCCCCCGTCGGAGGCCTCCCGGAGAGGCCCTCGACCGCCAGCAGGAGGCTCCTCGGCGAGGGGGCCCCCGCGAGAGCGGGGGCTCCCCGCGGCAGGGCCAGGGGCCCCATATATGCACGGGGCGGCCTGCCTCGGGCTCCTCTCGGCGGCCCTCTCGTCGCGGCGCGCTGCCCGGGCCCAGCCGCTCTCGGGGGGGGCCCCTCGGGAGCGCCCTCCTCTCCCAGCCCCCTCCCCACCCCGCGCTTCGAGGCAGGGACCTCCGGCGCTCTCGTAGAGCTTCGCCCAGCCCCTTCCGCGGCGCTGCTTCGCCGCGAGGCCGTGCCGGGCGGCCAGCGCCTGGAAGTCCACCGCCCCCCGGCCCTCCTCGAGGACCTCGGCGAGGTAGCTCCCGTAGGCTGCCAGCACGGCGCCCCGCTCGGCCGGGTCCTCCACGGTCCCCCGGGTCCTGCGCATACCGAAGGGGTTCCCCAGGATGGACTGGCGGTCCACGAGCACCTCTCGGTGGCCCAAGAGAGCACGCGCACCGGCGCAAAAGAAGCCCCGCGCC